GAATTAGTGTATAAAAATATATATTTGTTTGATTTTGTTAAAGTGTGGTGTTTTGATATTTCAGCGTCCAGAGAAGCTGAACGAGAAGCCGTCTGTGCTCCCGGCTGTAGAGGTGATCGCTCCGGGAGGGTCCTACAACCCAGACTTTTTCTCCCACCAGGTAAATTAAAAACCTGCATCTTTGGGTGTAGTTACTGATCCTACATATTGAAATGTAATTGCCAAAAAAAGATAAAAGTGTTGCCTAACTGTTAATAATTTAATATTATTGCTCTTTGGTGCAAAAAATAAACATGGTAACTTTTATGTAGGCAAATTTTTGAATGGAAACAGTATTTAGAGCAAGGCGACTTTGAAACTATGGCCCCAGCCTAACAACCACTGACTTAGATTATTATAAAGCTGAAGCTGGTAATTAACAAATGTTCATCTCTCTCTTCTGAATGCAGGATTTGCTCAGGGAAGCCCACGAGGTGGAGTTGAAAAAGAAGAAGGTAGAAGACAAACTAGAGAGACAGCTGGCTTACAACAAAGAAGACAGAGCTACAGAGGTACAGCTGACGATTCCTGTAGCTCGCCTTCATCTTTCACTTTGTTTTTGGTGCTGCTGATGAATGTGTCTTTGACTTTTTTTCAATTCTATTGTGCGTTATTGCGGTTTTCAGGAGACAATCCTCCGTGAGCAGGTAGAAGGCTTGGTAGAGGAGAGTGAAGAGGAGGAAGAAAAAGATGCTCCAAAAGAGGATGGGGAGGAAGTGGCAGTGGGAGCCATCGCAGTGGCCGACAAGAAGACTGAAAGACAGAGAAAGCGAGAGAAGGCAGAAAAAATCAAGGTACGGCTACAAGAAGGTTTAAAACATCCCAAATTACAGTGACCCTGACCCCAAGAAGTTTTCATACATCTGCAAAAAGATTGCACGAAACCCAAAGTGCAATGAGCATTTTCACAGCACACATTTTGATTTGCCACTGTTGGTAAGGGACGGGTTTGTTAAGGACTGCTTCTTTCCACTTGGGTGGTCCTTCTGTATACATGCTCACTGTCGTGGCTTATTAAGGGCACCTAATGGAGTCACTATTGGGCTGATGAATGTGTGCCTACAGTGAAAAGCCAAAAAGTTCCACTGAAAACTCATTAATTGCATTTTATTGTATTAAGGTTTTTCACAGGAGGATACACTGATGTCTGTAAGAATTTTTAGTTCAGTTACAGCCCCCATCAGAGAGAAGGTTTAAACAGTAGGTGGGTGGGACTTCAATACTCACGGACGCAGCTGGCAATATCTGCTCTCCCTGAAACCATACGGGACCAAGAGTATGAAAAAACTAATGGAAACTGAAGTTTTAAAGTTAGTCTAACAAGCTCACCTACTAATACCCATATTATCATTCCACTCACATTTTAAACATTTATCTCACTGCCTAAGACTCCAAATTAATCATTTTTATAAAGTATACAATATCTCTTAAACAGTATAACAGTACTTGATATAAACACACCAGTAAGAACAGATGGGTTAGACGTGAGTACATCAGAGGGCAGCTCAGGTCGAACAATTTGGAGCCAAAGTTAGAGGCAAGGCAGAGATCATTTGGCCATGTACAGAGGAGGGACAGTGGATACATTGGACAAAGGATGACCAGAGATTCATGGATTTAATGAAGATGAATATGCAGAGGGGCTGTGTGACAAAGGCGTGAGAGGCAGGTGATCTGCTGTGGTGACCCCCTAAATAGGCAGCCAAAAGAAGAGTCAGAACAAACAGCTCAAACGTAATCTGATGACTTCAACACTTGTAAATAGTTAACCTGAAATCTGAAGGAGATAAAACATGCGTGTATGTAACACAGTCCACTCATGGCTTTCTTTTGAACCCTAATATAGGAGCAGCAGCGGTTGACAGAGAGGCGACAGACTGAGCAGCAACAGCAGCTCTTCCAGCTTCGCTCCATAAAGACCTCGATCAAACAGCAGGAAGAGACGACCCAGATCAGACAGAAACGACGCAAGGCCAAGGAGGAGGCCCAGAAAGCTCAGCCCAGGCGACTCGGCAAACTCAAGTACAAGCCTAGCATGTTTTTTTTTTTTTTTTTTTTTTTTTGTTTTACACACTCATACTTACGCGCTCCAGAGTTTTAACAACTTTTACACAGTCTGAGGTGCAAAATGGGTTTAAATTGTGATGACAGATTTTTTTTTTAAAAAAAAATTTGATTATTTCTTTGTTTCTTTGACAGCTATTGTTGTGAAATCAAAAAAAAATCTGATTATGACAAGGGAAGTTTGAACACTTAGACTCTTTATTGCTCATCTGTGTTTTCTCCTTCAGTCACAGCTGCTAATGGGGACCGAATTGTAATCCTGTAAAGTTGTACAACAGCTTCAGTGGACTCTCTAGTAATCGCTGCTATTCCTGCTAGCTATGAAATCAAAATATTGTTTCTAACTAAACAAAACTAGCATGACAAGTCATCTGGTAACAGTCAAAGCAAGGTTTTCCCAACTGTTTGGGAGATGTACTTATTTCCACAGTGGTGGAAAAAGTGGTGGGTTGTTGGGATTAAATCAGGGTCACGGAGTAGTTTCTAAACCTGCATGATTGGCACTTTAGTCATGTGATCCTACACTGCCATCATGGTTGTCACATGTCCAAAATGGCTACCAAGATAAATCACATGGTTGGTGGTCACACATCTGCAAAATTTCAGTTTGCTTGTCTTCTGTCTTTTTGTAGCATTTTAGCATCAAACTGCTGAAATAGTTTCAGCACTTTGACAAATCATAGCTGAATCATCATCTATGATTCAGCTTCCCCCCGCCTGGTATTCATCCACATTTTCAAACACCCTCGACCAACCCAAATTTCCGGTGGTAAGGGCCAAAAATGGCCCAACAAGGGGCAATTATGGCCAAAAAAAACCCTTTTCAGCCAACGCCTTTAATGTTTGCTTTATATATTTCTTCACAGGTTCCAGCCTCAGGACATGGAGGTTCAGTTGAGCGACGAGCTAGCCGGCTCCCTGCGACAACTCAAGGTACTTCAGAAGCACTTTGACCTCCGTGAGCAAGGACACTGTTTATCTGTAATGGGTTTTGGCTAATTTGGCTGCTGTATTATCTTCAGCACTCTGCACTATTCAAAGCTTTATCCCATTCTCTCATACTGTGCTGCCTCGCTTTCCCCACAGGGATCATTAGTTTCATTTGATGTAATTGCTGGTGGAAAAATCCCAGTCCTTCCCGCTTATCTCCCCCAATTATGTCTTTGAATAATACTTAAAACGGTCTTTGTGATGAGAATAGGATTTTATGATGCACGTGGGAATTGCATATCCAGTGAGAGCAGCGTGACATTTGTGTCACATGGCTTTGTTTTGACTATTTCTCTTTGTGTAATGTTGCGACTCCACAGCCAGAGGGCAGCGTGCTCATGGACCGCTTCAAGAGTCTGCAGAAGAGAAACCTTATTGAACCCAGAGAAAGAGCCAAGTAAGGACCTCTGCTTCGCTCTTACATAACATCTCATCAAAAGCCCAGAGTGATGTGTGAATTCATAAGGTGTATAGTGAATAACATGAGTTTCCACCCTCCCCCCTCTCTCCTAGGTTCAAGAGAAGACTCAAGGTGAAGTATGTGGAGAAGAGGGCTTTCAAGGAGATCAGTTGATGCCGACCTACACATCACGGGACTGAACGCAAGAAGCTGGGAGACTTTTAAACCACCAGTGCAGAATAATGGAACTGTGTATATACGACATAATGACTGCTGAGGGCCTGCTGGGCCCTTTCAGACTGATGTCACCTGCAGCAGTGATATATAAACTCTGACCAAGAGTGCCGGATATGAGTTTTAATTGTTTCCTGTAGTGCATCTGCCATGCAGTGTTTCTATAATTTCTTTCAGTTAAATACAGATTACTGTATCATTGTGTGTTTGTGTTACATAATGTCATGCCTATCAGGGCACGATCAAAAGGTTTGTAGTAAATGGCCGAGTCTAGCTGTCAGTGTGTCACTACGCTGCTCATACAAGAGTACACCAGGTTAATGAAGGGTTAAACCCTGCAGTGGTAATGGCAATATGTCAGCTCATTGCTTAAGATTATGCCATATTCACACACCTAAACATTTTAGTGTGTTCTGTGCTTGTTTGTTTTATATATTGATTACACAAATCCATCATAAAAGCTGCTCAAATGAGATGGCATCATTTAGTCTGTTTTCACAAACAGTTGATACACACTCTGCTTTAGATGCTAGGATGCCCACATTATATAACAATATGCAGCATACAAAGTTAAGGGTGCACAATAGAAACAAAGTATGCCTTTTTAAAATCCTCTGTTACATTAGTTGATTAAGCTGAGCTTAACTGAAGTAGATTACTGCATTTCTTTCTTTTTTTTAATATTGGGTTTAAAAAAAACAAACAGATGGGCTTGAGGAAGTTGGCATGTGATAATTGATTCCATCCCGCTGGCTTAAAACCATAATTGCCTTCGGTGTCCCACTGGCGTGAACAAGGACCTGCACGCACATACACAGACACCCACGCCCCGTCCCCTAAGCCCCATGGTCCCTGGAGTTGCTCCAAAGCTTCTTATCTGTTAATCAGTGTGAAATTGTAGTCTTTACCTTCAGTGTCCACAAAAGGGCTCCCAACCACATGCATGCTAGTCAGTTGAGCTGTCCCTCCTCCCTCTCAAGACAAACTGAGCACCTGATCCTGGGCTATGCTCGTTTGAGCACTTATTAGTGGTGATGACGCCAAATTACCTGCTGATGAATTAACCTGCTGACTCATAAAGCCACAGCTCGTCTCCAACCCCTCGTTCTATATTTAAAGTTTTTACTGGAGAACAGAGATACGAGATACTGGGCCAGAAATAATTTTATCAAATAATTTGTTGTACAGATATTTTTGTGAATGTTGCTGCTTTTTTATTTTATTTTATTTTATTAAGTATTTGGTGGGTTGCATCAAAATAATTGAGACATTTTGACATGTAACACCAAATCTGTAGGACTTCATGGGAGGTGACAGGTGTGGAGAACTGAGATTTGATAAATCAGGCCTATGGTGAGGCCTGCAGCTCTACAACGCTATCACCAACTGCACATAAACATACCGTCAGTTACAGTGTTATAAACAGAGGCTAATCAACATTAAAAGGTTTTTTTCCCCCTTAATTTGTCACCAAGCTGTTTCCAAACTAATTTAATTGTTTTAGTCAAAACAAAAGCGCGCACATCACCATATAAGGATATTAGTGTTTTCTCCTGCACTCATGCCAGTGACCGACTGCAGCCAAGTTGTTTGCTCCCCTCCCGTTTGCCCTCCTCTCTTCACGTGTGAGACATGGTGCTGCCAGATTGTGTTGGCATGAGGAGTAGGAGGGATTACGTGTGTGCGCAGTCACTCATTACCTCCTTCAGAATAGATTACTACTCCTCCGGTCTGCAGAGCCAGCGAGTAACAGTGGAAGCCTCTAAAACACTCAGCTGCACTGCATGGAGATGCCACAGTGTGTATATGTGTGTGTGAGTCAACGTTGTCAAGTGATCTCAGGCTTGTTTGCTGCAAAGTGACAGGCATTTTTTTTCCCTCCCTCTCTCGCGCTCTTTTTTTCTTTCTTATTTTTTGGGGGGGCGGCCCAGTGTCGTCCTCCCTGTCTCACCTTGTCCTCCTTGCGTACACGCAGCACACGCATAGCCACGTGGACGCACTGAGCTCTGTGATGCAGGATACAGGGATATAAAGATACCACAATAACCCCAAAACAAGATACAATTCAGACAAGGAAGCAGTGCTGAAAAATCATATGTTTGTTGTGTTTAGAATGTACAATCTGTGTGTCAGAGCACCTGTCAAATCAACACAGAAGCGCTCCTAACTCACATAAAATATATGGACTGAAGTCGACATCTATCAATCTTTGAATCCAGGTGTTTTCAGTCCTAGTACTCACTTATTCTGAAGGGAAAACTAGCCATAGAAACATATTGCTTTTTGTACCATACTGTAAATATACCTTTTAATCAAGTTTATGGGAGCATAGCACCTTTTCAGCACTGTCTCTGAAACTACAGGAAATGACAAAGTGTCCTGAGGAGCTGAAAGTCAAATATTTTAATATTAAACCTTTAAAAAAAAGTCAAATATTTTCAAGTTTTTGTTTTTAATGTCATTGCAAAGTAAATATGGGGTTGTTCGAACAAAATAGCCAAAAGAGGACCCTCTCCTTTGTGCTAGATTTGGGATTCATATTTTTTCTGTAATACTGAGTAGGGATGCCCTGAATGTGAAATATCAACACTCGTTTGTTTTGATTTTGTTCTTTTCTGGCTTTCTATCATCTTTAAAAGTGCTTAAACACACAATTTTTCCACATTAAGCCTGTGGAAAATGGATGTAATAAAAACATCAGAAGGTACAAGATGTGACATCTTATTTGCAAATACTGATATTCAGCCAATATACCCATCGGTTCCTCATTACTGACTAATATTTATATCACATTAATATTTATATTACCACTGCAAAATATATCTAGTGTATATCCCTTATAGACTATTGTCCAGGTAGTATTTAAAAGCCTTACTAGCAGCATATTACATAATATCTGAATTATTATTTATCACCGTAGATCATGAAACAGACTACTACAGTGCCTCTTTGCAACATCTGCTCTGTGACATTTAATGATGATTAATGCATTCATTAAACAAACAAAAAAAAAGAGCAACAACGGGAAGAATCACTGATAATGAAAACACCTAGATGTTTGGTCATGCGTGATTTTCTCGCATGATTACTGATGGTGTGTTTGAGTGAGAGCAAGTATCTCACACACACAAACACACACACGGAGCGCTTCCATCGTGTTCTCGCTCTGTCACACACTTCCCCTGTGTCGCCTCAGTATCCTTGCATAGCCTCGGCGTGACACTGCCTCTAATGTCTCCGTCTGCAGTGTACAGTAGGTATCACTGCACAGACGCGAGAACACAATGGATGGCAAAAATGTAAATGCAGGAGAAAATCGTGTGTGGTGGAAGAGTGACAAACTGTTCGTGTGGTATGATGGGGAGGTGGAGGGGTGGGGGGGATAAACACGGTGATGGAGAGTGAGTGAGAGGGAGCCAGAGGGGGGAGGAGCAGAGAGATGATTCCTCGCTCTAATCCTCTAGACACACGCTCGGTCTGGCTGCCTACTGGCTCAGAGAGACAGAGGGAGAGAGACGGAGGCAGGTGGAGGGCGCAAACAGAGAGAAACCAAGTGGGAAGGAAAAAACAAGATGAAGGGAAGAAAGGAAAGGAGCGCTGCCTCTCGTAAAGCACGCTGACAGAAACAAACAGAGAGAGAGAGAGGCAGGGAGGAACTGGATAACCCAGCGACTCCGGCACGGTTTCTAGCAGAGGGAAGGAGGAGGAAGAGTGCGATGCTACAGTGCTGCTCTGCCTGAACCAAAGCAGGAGGAAAGGAAGGAGCAACAGAGAGGAGGAGGAGGAGAAGGAATCCCTCGAAAAACAGCCTGAAGAGTGGACAGAGAAAGAGGATGGAGGAGAGGAGAACACGCAGAAACCCCTGGGTGCTCAGGCTCACATGAGTGTATGGACCTGTGCCCGGCCGGAGTTACTACAAGATGCTGTCAAAGAACGAGCGTACGAGGGCGGAGTGTTAGTGTGCGAGCGATGGGTGTCTGTTTGCACAAACTACGGCCGCTCCGCAAAAGTCAGCAGAAGTAGACGAGAGGCTCGGGTCTCTGTCAGAGCAGGTGTGTGCGAGTGTTGGTGTGAGAACATATGACACACCAGCTGTTTTAGGAGGTAAACAGAGCCGGGGTAGCCCAGAGGAGAGGAGAAGGAAGACACGTTCACGTGAAGAAGTGCATGGAAGGCGAATCGCACACGCGGAGTCAACCGGTTCAGAGTCACAGTTAGTGGTGTGAGGAAAGCGTGGCGGACAGCACATTTAATAGAAGACACGGAGTTTACAATGAGGTGTCACTGAGCTTCTCCGGGGTTCCTGACTTCTCTATACCAAACCAGCCACCTGAAGCCACTCCCTACCTCAACTCAACCCAACAAGTGGACTTGAACACTGAGAGACAAGGACTTGAACCCCAGCTGTCTGGGAAGCCCACCTGAAGTGGGGTCAGTCCTGACTTTCTGTGCCCAGTGGATGCCTCCTGACTCCAACCATGGGAGAATGGACCATCCTAGAGCGCCTCCTGGAGGCCGCTGTTCAGCAGCACTCTACTATGATTGGAAGGTGAGCTGTTGAAGACGTGAATCCTATCTTTTAACTGAAATTATATGTGTTTCTACAGTATAGTAAGTGTGTGCATGCTGACTGTGAGTCCCTCTGTGCTCACATTCAGGTCCAGTGTGACGGGCTGCAGGTTGTGGGGGGTAGGTGGGTTAGTTTCTTTAATCTGTCTGGGTGATACGATGGGAGGGTTATGCAGCCATGAGGGCTACTATTAGTCCACACAGAGGACTAAAACATCTACAATTCTGTCATTCCCAGTTTTTGCCATGTGCTTCTCCACGCTGATGCCTCCCTCATTGCCTTAACATCAAGTTGGTTTCAGAAGCCAGCACGCTACACAAGCGTGACTCAGTTGACAATTTACCAGTTTTCTTCACTTCTTGTCTTTTTCTGTCAAGTATGAGGTCATCTTCTTTATCTTTACTCCCCCCCCCTCCCAAAAAAGAAAAAAATCCACGAGCCACAGCCGATCACAGCAGTTATGATTTATGCATTCTCTAACATGCCGAGATGTGTTGCATCTTAGTTGGAGTAACTCGTTCTCAGGGCCGCAGGACGAGCAATTATTCATGAGCATTTTAGCACATTGGCTCTGTAAACATTATTAGAAACGTCTTAACATCAAGTAAAGGACGTATTCCTGAGTATGAAGGCTTTCTCAGGATATGTGTGAAACCGCAAGTTCAACTTAAGTTCATGAGAAACCATCTGAATTTGCAGTTTAAACCAATTCCCTCCAGCTACTGACTCACCCTTGCTAGTGGTACTCTTGAATTATTGAGCGAATGAATGTTGGGCAGTTTATAAAGTAAACGATGCGTGGAGTTTGTTTTTTTCCTGGATGAGTCTTCTTCTGCTTACAAAACTCTGAGTGTGAAGTTTGTCGTGTTGACTTGAAGCTTGATTTTGAGAGTCAGACTGGTCAGAGTCGTTTCCTTTGGTGTTATGATACATGGTTTGTCAGCATTTGCTTTCCCTCATTCACGAGACCCTGGGAGCACACTGTTCCTCATCATCTAGGCTAGTCATAATGGCTGCGGGGTCTCAGCAAAGAGTGGGAAGGAGAAGAGACAGAAAGAGAGGGTAGCTAAGGAGAAACTCTCAAAAAGAACAATGACATATACGGAGGCAGTGAAGGGAAAGGGTAAAAATTAAACAAATTAAAAAGCAGAGCAAGAGAACCTGGTTCCAAAGTAGAACGGCGATGAGGAGAACCGACAAGCGGAGTGCGAGATGTGGGAGACACGAAGCAGATGACGGAGAAAGAGTAAAAAGACCAAGTGAAGGCGAAGGCAGCGGGGAGCGCTTATTCACAGACAAGCGAGCAGACACATGGCTTCAGTCTGCAGGGCGTTGGTAGGAAGCCAAGAGGAGTCTCGTCACGGGATGGTGCTGCATGTCATGACCTAAGCAGAGCAAGCAGGACACCCAGAGGCTCAGATCATCTTTGCACAGATTATATCTATTGTACAGACAGCTGAAATGTTCAGAACACAGGAGGAGCCCATTAGAAGTTTAAAAAAATATACAAACATTCACATGGGCTTACCAGCAGTCCTTTCCTGCATAAGTTGCATCTGCTCTGGCTCAATGAGTACCCTCACTCTAGATACTCATATGGCAATATTTGTAGCAAGTCTGCAAATTATAGCACCTGAAAAGTTCCCACATATCTACAGACAACAAAAGTTCATACATAATCTTTCTGATAAAACTGAGGTGGTACTTTTAAATAAAGAAGTTTTTATCGTGAATACACCACCATCACTATCCAAGCTAAGGGGTCATTTATGGGCAGAAATCTGTGCCATCAGAAACTGAATTTAGATGGTTTTAGATGTGTCCTTGATCCAATACAGCTGATTTAATGGCTAAATGACCTCCTCAACATGTCTTGAAGTTCTCCAGAGGCCTGGTAATGAAATAATTATTTGATTCAGGTGTGTTGACCCAGGGTGAGATCTAAAACCTGCAGGACACCGGCCCTTGAGGCCTGGAGTTCGACACCCCTGAATTAGACTAACTATTCACTTTAGCTAAAGATATTAAGATAGCTAAAGAGTTGGGATGCTGTGTAAGACATAAATAAAGCTAAAATACAAAGGTTTGGACACCGTTTTGCATTTTCCCTACTGTAGGGGTCTCTGCAAGCATACAGAGGGGGTACTCTGAGAGGGTACAAGATGACAACTTTGGAATTCTACTAGAAACAGTCGATCATATTTGTTTGTCAAAGCTGAATTCAGGGCAAACTACGCTAAATTAGCGTTTTTAGCTAGCAGCTACAATAAGCATAAAAGTTACCTTACGGCTATCATTTGTTAACATGACGCTTGTTCTTATACATGTAATACATTTATTACCAACCTGAGAGTTTATCCGCTGGTCATTCGACATGACGAATGACTTCTGAAGTCTTAATTCAGCTCAAGACGCTGTAGATCCCCGTCAGTAACACTTTCGGTCCGCTAGTAAAACGTAGTTCTATTAATCTGCGCTTGAACCGGAACCGGATGTAAGTTCCAAAAAACTGAATTTTGGAACTGAAACTGAATGGTGAGAAGTGAAACTGAAATTATTCGAGAGCTGAATTTTTAAAGGATAAAATGCAGTTTCAAAGCAAATCAATTCATTTTCAAAATATAAAATTCAATTTCAATTTAGTGATGATCATTTTCAAACCATAAATTCAATTTCAAATTAGACTAATTCAAATTCAGATTTCAAAAGCATTTATTCAAGTTACAATTCAGATTCAATCTGAGCAATTCAAATTCAAATTTAACTTATTCAAATTCAGTTTCTGATGGCACAGATTTCTGCCCATAGTCATTCTCCTTGTTGTGGTGTGCCTGGTTTCACTACCAACACGCCACTAATGAAAGTTTTGGGCGAGACTCCTTATGTGTGATTTAGACTTCTGCAGGAAATTTACACTGTAAATTAATAATGTAACTGGAAACCCCTTTTAAACCCTTTAACACAATAACTTCCCATTAGCACATGGGTGTCCAACTCCAGGCCTCAAGAACCGGTGTCCCGCAGGTTTTAGACGTATCCTTGATCCAACACAGCTGATTCTGGCCTCTGGAGAACTCCTCAACATGTCTTGAAGTTCTCCAGAGGCCTGGTAATGAACTAATCATTTGATTCAGCTGTGTTGACCCAGGGTGAGATCTAAAACCTGCAGGACACTAGCCCTTGAGGCCTGGAGTTGCCCACCCCTGCATTAGCACTAGTTTTTTAATATGTAGAGGTCATGCTGCAGCAGGACCTAATTGCAATCTTTTCCTAACCCTAACCCTTTTGGTGCTTGAAGCTAACAAAAGCAAAAGTGAACAGTAAGTAAAAAGAGGGTTCCCACTCAAAATATGAACTCCAGTCTTCTGATAGACATCATTGCTAATGCGGGGATTATGTTTTCCCTCTCTGCGAGTTTGCTAGCGTCTGCTTGGGTCCCAGTGATGTCAATGTCCTCATGAGACAGTTAGCGAGAGGGTTCATGCAAGAGTGTGCATGCCTGCCTGTTTTCTGTGGCCGTGTGGACTC